TCAAGAAATACTACCAGCGGTATAACAATTTAATTTCAAATAAATTTTTCTAGACATTGCTACTACTTAGGAACGTAAATTTTACACAGTGAAATAATCTTATTGTGAGCTATTTGCCATTTTTTTCTTGCATATATTTCGAAATCGCCGTGTATACAATAATTTTGGTACCACTTTTATTTGAGATTGCTGTGGTGGTCACGAATGTCATCGGGTGTGACTGGAACTAAATTATATCTACATAGTTAGACACAAAAGTGTTTATTTAAGCTGAGTACAAAGTGTTTTCGTTTTCAAATCTTAAAGTATAAAGTATAATCAGAATAATTTTAAAATTTCTTCACTCTCACGGAGTTTATCCCGTAACTAATTTTCTTCCTAAAAGTTGTTTATTTGAGTCTCAAGGATCCACTGCTTTGTTGATTTCTTAAGTTTCCAAAGAGCACGGACCGTCCTTTGGCAGGAAGGAGTTGGTTTTTGCAGCAGATTTATTGTTTTTTGTTTTCCAAAACCGGAACATCTTATGTGGGCGTAATGTTTACAAGTCAAACAAACGATTTGACAAATAACAATTGAATTTTTACAAAACTTTCGTAACTTTCCTATTTACAGCTTTTGATATGCATACAACTTTTTGTTCTTAATAAAGATAAAGAACTTGCCGTCATTGAAATACATGTTAGATGCATCAAAAACTCCTCTCTGCTAAATATATATATATAGAGATTGTCCAAATACAAATTATCATATTTTCATGTAAGGATTAAGTATGTACAGTCGTATTAATAGTACCTCCTGAAATAGGGGAAATGTGTCTGAGACGGCATGTTAGATAAGATGGCATACTATCGTTTTTACTAAGTTCGAATTTGAATTTAGCGCTTTGAGTAACGCCATCACGTGACTGTGGCGTAAGTAGAAAATGCTACGTAATTTGAGGTTAACTGGCGAGATGGTTTTCATGTTTGAGCAAACTGTTGAAACAGGTAAGTGTTAAAAACTTTTATCCGTCTCAGAAAAACTCTCGTAAGATTTATTTTGAGATAAGTTGAAGGTTCTAGTAGTAATTTCTTATTTTTATTGTAATTGCGCATAAATTCATGACCACAACCCAACGGTTTTATTCAAGATAATTCTTTAAAGGTGCACTTTCGATTTAAACGTACTTTTATGTGAGATGGCACAGTAAATCTAAAGATGAGATGGCATGGAGAATGTGCGGGCTTAGTTCGAAAAGCAAAACAGTTTATTTGTGATCTTTGCAAATAATAAAAATTGTACTTTCAGAGTTAACTAATATTTTGTTTCTTTTTCAAAAAGTTGTTTTCTTTAATTATTTAATTTTTGGAAGTGTATTTAATGTTTTTTTAACGGCATTTGAATATGTTTATGAAAATGTTATTTTGTTTTTTGATAAATAAACGTTTAAGAAATATTTTCTATTTTTTAACATTTGGTTAATGTTTTTGTTGTAAAATTTTAATGGTATGCCATCTCACCCTTAAGTATATAGATGAGATGGCTTGTGCGGTTGAGATGGCGTAGTGTTAATATTAGTTTATGCGAAAAAGGTTATCGTTTCAAATATGCTTCAAAACATAGTTTTGTGTTAACTAAGAAAATGCCCGAGGTGAAATAAATTAAATTTTTTTTTTTAATTTTTTATGAGGCGATTACAAAAAGTATGCCGTCTCAGACACATTTCCCCTACATATAGTTCTTAGTTGTCAGATTTAATGATCTCATGTTTTACATACATAGGGGAAGAGGGCCCAAAGCGGGCACCATAAGGAAAAATATTAAAAAAAGTAGTTTATGGATAATCTAGATCCTTTAAATTTTTATATTATAATGCTTGATTTAACCCTTTTCAATGATGCATAACTAAAATTGAAGAAAGTTTATTAAAAAAAAAGTTAGAAGCAGATAACTAAATCTTTACAACTGCCCGCTTTGCCCTACGGGGAGGCCTAAAGCGGGCATTCAACTAGGGCAAACCAGGCAATGGTTAAGGTTGGGGTCTGGTTCGGTTTCGCTCTATACTAAATACATTGAAAACATTGTCGGGGTTTCCGGAATTGCATTTTAGAAATACTGAAGTCTGCAACCAAACCAGAAGTTAAGTAAGCTCATTTTAATAGATTTTGACTTTTCGAGAGTTATTTACCTCAGTCATGGATTTTTTTAGGATTATAAATGGTGTCAAAAGAAAGCTGACACTTTTCCCCAGAGGACCTTCTATCTCAAAATGCAAACCTCTTCAGCACTTCGTCAAAAAATGCATCAATGTGCCGATTAAAGTGTGATGTAAAAGTTGCTCAACTTTATAATTTTTTTTTTGTAAAAACTGTAGACTAGATATGAATATAAATATGAAGGTCCCCTGGATTGACGTTTGGTAATTCGAAATATAATTTTTTTAAAGCGATATATCTCGTATTTTTCTTTTTGGTTTTTTCACTTCTTAGACTTCGTTTTATCTTCAGCAAGTTCTTCTTTTATAATTTGTTTCACAGACTCCACATTGCCTTTGTTCTTCTTTTCGAAACAACTATAGATATTTAGTAAATACACTAGAAGGGCAAACCGGACAAGTGCCCGCTTTGCCCTGCCCGCTTTGCCCATTTCGACAATTAAAATTGCAAACAACATCTAAACTCAAAATGATTCGACAAGTGGCAGTTAACTGCTACCTTATGGTAGCCGAATAAACACAAATTGATTAACGAATTTCATACTTAGCTTAAAAATCACAAACATAGAAAAAACAGATGTGACACACTTTGCAATATTTTTCAAAATCATGTGAAAATTATTTATTTATTACAGCACATAATTGGGTACTCTCAGGAGGCCCGGGCGACTGATGTGAAGTATGCGGGAGGGGATGCACTATGTCCGCGCGGTTAGGGCGCACCATCTTTTGAAACGCCAAAACTAAAGAGAGTGCCCGCTTTAGGCTCTATGCCCGCTTTAGGCCCCCTTCCCCTATGTATAATGTGTACACGAGTACTACTTTAATCAAAAATGAACAAATACTAAGAAAAGAAAAAGTAATTTCTTCACGTTTGTTTCGAATACCGTAAAATATCCATTCCGTCCAGGTATGTGATGTGCGGAAATATAGTAGGTAAACAATTAATTTTTTTCTGTCTCACCATAATTAATAATTTCATAAAATTATGCTTATGTTGATAGTTATAGCCCGATTTAATTCCAGTAATGCCAAAAGTAAACAGTTTCCTAGACTTTATTAATAAAAAGGCATATCTCCTGAATAAAATACTAAAAAAGATTTTTTATTTCTTCCAGCAATGGAAAAAGAGACCTCTATAAAACGTTATAGCTGTTACACCCGGCAATCTTGCTAATTTGTGATTATTATTAAAGCTTTTTTTACACCTTACGATAAATCTACGGTCCAGCTACTAATCTTTTAGATAATTAAATCAAACAACGCTCATTATTTCAATTTGTTACGACATTTAATTAAAAAACAAAAATAAAACCATCCACGCTGTTGCAGCAAACCCGGCTTTATAAATCTGAAAGCGGCATTGTCGTTATTTAATTTGTTATTAATCTCGTATATCGTCTAATGTTTGCTCAGGACGGTACCGAAGGTAAAGCCACCGCACAAAGCTTTTAATCTTCCGGTTTCAATTAGAATTCATTTACTAAATCCTGTTTCGCAGTCCTGAACGGTCCTCATCTATTTATAATAACGTACAACTATTTTACTGTCAACATTAATTACTTCTTTTAGAAAGGTAAGGTTTCGTTTTTCAACATTCGCTTTGTAATAGCAACGTTCTCTAATTATATGTGAAGTCGGAACAAACCAAACGAGAACGCTTCGGTTGATTAGTAATTGCTATTCATAGTTCACTGGTTAGTCTGTTTAGGCGGCAGCAATTAGCAATCAGGGAATTAACGCTTGAGAGAGGATGAATGTGGGATCAGAATGTGCACACCTGTAAACATGCGACTGAATAACGTAGGATCAAGGAAACTTTAATACAGCAATGTCCTTTCAAGTCAAACCGCAACATTTTGACTACAAAGCAACCGAAAGCTCTCTTGAAAGGATTCGCCTGTCACGGCCAATTGATAATCGACAAAGCTCTACGCGTTCCTCGCTAACTGGCTATTACAAATTGATCCTATTTCGATCTTAGATACATAAACTTTTCGCTTAACAAGAATTTTATCAGCTTCTAGCCTCGCTAGAATTTCAACAAGATTTAAGGTCTGATTTTAGTATTACTGGAAAGAACGAAATTATCGTGAGCATAATGTGTTGAAAGCCTTGTTCGTAGAGGATGTAGTAAGAGCATCTAGCACAGCAACCTGTAGCCATGCATAAACGGATTACTTTTACATTACATTCTGAAATTATAAGAAAAATAATAAAATGCTAACCTAAATTTATCTAAGAATGCCCTCTGACAATGTCATATTACATCTCGCTTGAAGTCTACAGTGTAAGATGTCCCTTGATCTGCTATTTAATAATAATCTATTTTTTTTACTGTTATAAACACGAGTGTTGTTTGATTTTAAAATGAATTTAACAATATATTATTACATTACACGCTTCTTAAAAATAATAAGAAAAACTTCAGAATGTTAACTTTTTTTTTTCATCACTCTTCAGAAAGCTGGCATTATTCTACGGTTAAATAAATCTTAACAGGTTTAGCGCCATGGCGGACACCGGTGTCCGCTATATGGTTTTCCACTATGGCCATGGCGGACACCGGTGTCCGCTCTAATTTCTAAACTTTGTTGATGATTCCTGGCCAAGCGGACGCACTTTTGAGCTATTTAACGTAGTGGTGTGACCGCTGTGGCCCTGCGAAACTGCATCCTGGTTCCAGGTTTTTTATAGCAAAATTTATTTAGAAAATAATAATGTCATAATTTTTTTATGTTTAAAGAAATTTATTGAATAGTATATTGAATATTTTTGTATTTATACAATGTATGATTAGTACAAATTATTTATTGTGGTATAAGTTAAAGCACTCGAGGCAATATCTTGGATTTCCATCGCATTGTTGACAATAGGTAGTAACTTTCTTCACTTTATTCTTTTCGATAATGCCATCCACCTTTTTTTGGTAGCATCCTTTGCAGTATCGACGATTTTCTCGAGCTTTACAGTCTAGTCTGGTAAATTGATGTGTTTTAAGAATTTGATGTCTTGGCTGACGAGTTTGCGCAACATCGCGTTTATCTTCGAATTTCAACAAGTCTTCAGTTACCAATAAGCGAAAATCGTTTATTGGAATGTTGCTTTGTTCAATATCCTTGTAAATGATGTGAGCATTTACCATTGAAGTACCTAATCAAACATACATAAAAGTCGCAACATTTACAAAAAAATTAAATGATTTCTTACCGAACAGTACTTCTATTGCCAGTTTTTTGTACCAGCGGATGGACTTCCGTAAAGCTGAACTGTAGCTTGCCATTTGATCAGAAAGATCAATCGAACTTTTGCCTGAATTATAATGCACGATAGCTGTGGGCTTTTGAATAGATTTTCCTCGGCGTTGAATTTCTACCATTTGGTCTGTATGACATGTGGACAAAACCAAGACATCCCGTTTGTCTCGCCATTTGACTAGACATATTCCTCTTTCGTTTTCTTGGGAAAATACCTCACCTTTTTTCAGTTTCTTTTTTATTACTTCTGGCGGGTTTCCTTTCCGGTTCGCCCGCAATGTACCTAAGCAATGTGTTTTATGATCTAACAGTATGTGCGCAAGTTGAAGACTTGTGTACCAGTTATCTGTAATACACAGTCTACCGCTACCTAAGAGATCTTTCGCCAACTTGAGCACAATTTGTGTAGAAACGGCCAGTGGATTTATCTGTCGTTTTCTCTTTTCCTGCATAAATACTGATGTTCCAGGTGTACCCGTTGTTGCAACAAAGTTTGAAAACTTTTATTCCGTACTTATGTGTTTTCTGTGGATTGTATTGTTTGAACACTAGTCTTCCTTGAAAAGGTACCATCGTTTCGTCGATACAAAATGTCTTACCAGGTGTGTATACAGTTTGATAATTTTTGGTGAGCATATCGATAAGCGGTTGAATCTTATATAGACGATCTCCTTCAGGACACTGTTCGTTATCGGAGAAGTGTAGCATCTTTAAGAGCAATATTTCAAATATGTTACGACTCATGACGTTGCGAGCAACGTCTGATTTTAGAAGCCATTTCTGAGACCAATAATCGCGAAGGCTGTTCATACGAACCATTCCCATATAAGAAAGCAGACCTATCAAATGTATGATTTCTGCCCGAGTGGTTGGTTCCCAATTGTGCACACGAGATTTGTTTGAAATATTGTTATTACACATAACAAACTGCGTTGCATAAATGTTGGTTTGATCCACAATTGCATCAATTATATCAAAATCAACAAAAGCAAAATAATAGTCAATTGGGTGGTGTCCCATCAATGCGGCCTGCCATTCCTGTTTTATCCCACTTTCAAAATTTTCTTCAAATTGAAGATGATTTCCTACAGGAGGACCCCAGACTGATTGTGTCAAATCATATAGCGTTTGATCAGCATCATTTTCTGTTTCAATCCATTCTTCATGTGCTATATTATCGTCTCCAAAATGAGTAGAACCTGCATTTGCGTTCCGAGTGTTTTGAGTCATAAAAACTGCAGAACTATCTTTCACCTGTTCTCGTTCTATATCTTCTTCAGATTCACTTGTTATATCTTGATATTTGCTTTCTATTTCTTTTGTGGTGCGTTTACCACGAAAGATGTTAGAAGGACCTGGCATATTTTCATTTCCTACCGATAAAGAAGAAATATTCTTCGTCTTTTTTACAGGAATTTCGCAATCACTATCAGTAGAATAATTGTCTGAGTTTGAACTATCAGGTAAAACAAAACCTGGATCTACGTCAGAATCTGCTGAGTACGGTTCACTTAGTGAATCTTCGTCTATTGAAAATTATCAGTGTGATATTTCATATAACATCTAATTTTCGGACACTTACCACCAGAATGCTGTTTTTGTTCTAAAGCTAGTTTTACAATTCGTTTTCCACGACTGTTCATTTTTTCTACAAAAATAAACACAACGCCACTAATAACACCCAAATAAATAGCAGATTTTAAGACAAAACCTGTAAAATTGCAATGGCGGACACTTCGGGTCGTCTAGTGTCCGCTCGGTAGTCACGTTCCACAGCGGACACCGGTGTCCGCTAAGATTGTAAACGGGCCACAGCGGACACCGGTGTCCGCTGTCTGTTTTTTGTCAATTGGCAAACAAAAAAAAATTGAAAAGTATTTTTTTTGATAAAAAATAAAACTATATCTGAGAAATTGTCAAAAAAACGGTTTGGTCCAGGGTGACTTTCTGTTCGAATTACCTTGGCGCTAAACCTGTTAAAACATTCAGCACCATGCACTTCCAACTTTACTTATACTAATTGTCCTACAAATTAAATTTCGGTAGAAAATTACGCAGCAGACTACGTCCAAACCTTAATCAAACACTCACACTCATCAAAGAAATGAAACATTATCTAAAATCTATTATTCTTCCCCTCCGATGTTGATGGCGACCAATAAAGGTCATTGAATTAATCTTTACATAAATGAATCAACTGTTTTCATGTTTTCAAGTGAAATTCGTTTTCCCTAGTCGGATGTTGGTCTATACATGAGTTCTATAACCATTGACCAACTGCCTCAATAATAATAATAATAAGTTGTACGTGCTTTGAAATATGAAGAAAGGGGCAGACTGCTCTTAGAAATCCTTGTAGACTTTGTGTGGTAATTTCTGGTAATTTTTGTAGATTGTCCAGCTGTTCAAGCGCTACAGGCGCTTTAATGGAATACCGTTTGCACAATACTGTTTACTATATTTATAATTACATAAAATGTGATTAATAAAATAATCTAGCAAAACAGCTGTTCATTTACCATTTTAAGATATGTTAATTGTATAATTTGACCTGTTATTTAACTTATTTGTACATATTACTTCTGATGATACCGAGGAAAGCGAGTAAAAATGTTACTACCGAAGTAGGATTCGAACCGAGGTCTCGCACTTGCCGAGCGGGTGTATTTAACCACTGTACTGTCAGGTGATTTTTTAAATTTCTGCTCTCATGACCATGACGTTTACGTCAGATCTTTCCATTACACTGCTGACGTACACATTTATCGTTACTTACTTTTCAGGTTATATCGTGCCACCACAGTGCAAACTACCCAAAATTAACATTGATTATGAATTATTGGGTGGCGTAAAATTGATCAAAACACAGAAGATTGAAAACAAAATGTGAAAAGCAAAATAGCGAATCATAAAAGATCGAAAATTAAAAATACCGAAACACAAAATATCGAAAGCGAAAAAAAACGAAAGACAAAAAAATCGAAAAATGTGATAGTCCCTGAAATGATAATTATTTACTTAGTTCTATCGCGTTCATAGATAACGATTTCGACGATAGCAACTGAAAGTAATTTTTAAATCATAAATTTTCAATATGTCGAAACTCAAAACAACACAGAAAAAACTCTATTGTGGAGGTTTCTTTGACACCAAAGAGAAAACAATAGAATGTGCGGTATATTGGACACCGATCTGGTGTTTCAAATGTTCGTCAAGACTCTTGTTGCTATTGCAGAATACCAGAAGAAGCACAGTCGATTGTTACGTATTTTGAAAACATCTAGAATGGACGTAAAGGTTGCCCAAATTTCAACACTCGTGGAATTTTTATAGCGCAATAATCGCGAATTACCCTACCACCGACAACGCCGTCGAATCTTGGCACGGAAGCTTCCAGAATCAATTTCACGCCAAGAAATGTTCCATGTGGAAATGCGTGAACAGGGGATGAACGAACTGAAAATTAACCACCACGAAGCCGGACTGGAGGTACCGCCACGCAAAAAATGTAAAAAAAAAATATCAAAGTTTACTTTGACAAAACTTCACTCGCCCTTGATATAGAGGTCCACATATTCCGCTTCTTTCAAAAATTATAAAAAAGAATAGTTTTCTGATAACCTTGACATCGTAAAAACCAGTGGTGTAAATGACACCTCGAACCCCGTGCGCCGCGGAAGCGCAAATTCCAAGGAGGCGCCGTCCGCAAACATACGGTCATATGAAATAAGTACATTCAAAGCAAATAACATCGAAAGAATGTCACGTAGAAATTTGTTTAATTTGAATGAGTTATCTCCTCAAAACAGAGGATTAAAACTATTAATTAAACCACAATGGAAAATAATGTTTTGAATGTGATTATTATTATTCTTATTCGATGATAATTAAATTAAAACGTGGGTATTCCCACATTTTCTAGACAATGAGGTTCTTAATTTGATCAATAAAAAATTGGTCCAAGGCTCTAAGTATAATGACAAATCCAGCTCTTTAAAAAAATTATAAAATTTCATTTCACGATTTTCGTTTTGTGATAACCGTTATAAAGTAAAAACTAGCGACATAAATAACACCCACGCAGACCCTGCGCCGTACGGACAATGTAAAGTACATTTAAAGCACATAACTAACGGGATAAAATGTCCTTCACAATTAAGTAATAGTAATCTGAAGCTCAAGTGCGTATTTATGTTTATACATCGAAAGAATGTCACGTAGAAATGATTTCAATTTTAATGAGTTCTTCTTCTCAAAACAGAGGATTAAAAATTATTAATTAAATCAAAATCGAACAAAATGTTCTGAATATTAGGATTCTAATTTTATCATTATTATTATGTAAAGACGTACGTATTTTTAAAATTTTCGAGAAAATGGGGTGCCTCGTACTTAATTTGACCAATAAAAAAATTGGTGATGACGTCATCAACTTGGATAATACTATTCACAGCACAAAAGAAAAGTGGTCACATTGTATTACCAATGCAAGAAAAAAAAAGTAATGGGTCAGTCGGCAGCGAACCCATGACCGCAAGTCGTCGTTCTCTCCGATAAAGCCACTGCGCGATGATGACTTTATCTCGTGGTGGGAATAAAACGTTATTACACCGTGCAGTTGTTTTTGCGAAAATTTGAACGCTTCGAAATGGACTTTGAAAATACGACCAATTATTCTAAAAATATAGATTATAATTTGTGAAATATGTAGTAAATTAATTCTTTCGGCAAAGAGCCAATTCGATCTTTTTCATTCGATCTTCTTTGTTTTCGCTAATTTTTGTTTTGATATTTTGAATTTTTGATCTTTTATGATTTGAAATTGTGATTTTCCATGTTTTGTGATTTCAACATTTTGTGTTGCGATAATTTGAGTTGGATATTTTTTTTCGATCTTTTGTATTTCGGTCACTTTTCCGTCACTCTGCGGAATTATTATTACAAATATGACAAAAAAACAGGCTGTTCAATTTTATCAGCATTTTTGAACCAATAATTTTTTTTCAGAAACAAAAGAATGATATAATTAAAACTACAAAAGCCCGATGGAATAACGTTATTCAGACCCTTATGAAACAGATGTAACATTAAAATGAGTAGTAGGTCTCTACCGTTTTATGAAAATTTAAAATCAATTTTATAGCGAAATTAATTGAACGTCCCTCGTCCATAATGAAACAAATCCACTAAAGTTAAAATAAAGATAAGTGTGAACTGTAAGGTAAAATGTAAGGACCTCAATATTTCAGCTAGCAAGCATACATACGTACATGCATATATGTATCAATTTGATTGGATACAGTGTAACACTAATGTTATTAGTGTTACACTGTATTCTTAGTAGGATTCAGAAGTTTTTGGGGAAAAGAGTTGATCGATAAAAAAATGCTTCATTCATTTTTTTTAACCGCCCTCTATAAAAAATTTTAAAAAATATTACTATATTAACAACCTACAAGCATGGACTCATAGTATTTTTCACATTTTAAGTAGAATCTAGTAAAATCTTGTGGTAACATCATCAAATTTTTACGGGAATAAACAGGAAAATATTGACCAAGCTTACAATGACCTTAATATTCAGTTTTGCAGTTTAGTTTCTAAGTTCAATTGTAAAATGTTAGAAAATATTGATTTTGTTTCCACAAATCTGTATGCCTAGGCTAAAAAATCAGGCGTATTCATAAAGCACAAGTATTGATGATGTATGTTATTTAATAAAATTTAAATAGCATTTACCATACAAAATTTTGAAATGATGTGATCAAATTGATAGTGGGGCTGATTAGACAAATTTGGTTGGCGTTTTATGGTCTTGACATACTAAAATTTGACAATCTCCGATATTACTGGACCGATTGTTATCAAATTTTATAAGTATATATTTTAGGAATATTGTATAGATAGTGAAACACTGCCGAAATTTTGTCTGATCGTCCCTACCAATAATTTGATGTTTGCAGAGTAAATATTATTTAAATTTCATAAAGTAACATACTTTTATATACTTGAAAGTTATGAATCCGTCTTTATTTTTCCCCTAGATCATAAGAAGGCCGTAGTTTATAAATGTTGAATACCGTACCGCACTTTGTACACCAATTTTATTTACTAAAACCGTAAGTTTCATTTTTATTACAGAAAGTATATAAATTATGAGGGCCGTACTTTTAATCTAGAATTGCTTATACAGCGCGACTCAAGAAGATTAATAAATTAAGCAATTTACTTTATTGATCAAAACAAGAAAGATTCACTGCATTTTTCAGAAATTTTGAACATGCAGTATTGCTGTTTAATATTACACCGCATTTATCCACATTGATATACGTCTCCTTGAAATATACGCGTCGCATGGTTCTTTACCCAGCCTTCAGTGCAATATATTTTACTTTAACTTATGGGGCCTGTCAAAAACAAATAAAATTTACAAAATAAAATTTGATGATTTTTCAAAGGAGCTAGATTTGCTGGATTGTACTCCAGGGCGAGGGAGGTTCGGTCTAACACCTTACAACAATTTTTTATTATATAAATTGAGTCTAACAGCTAAGTAAACAGTTCTGGGTTTAAATTTTTTAAATAGAGCGTGCAATAACATTTAATCAATAAAAGAAATTGTTTCATTCATTTTTTTTGACAGCCTGTATTAACAGTTCTAAAAAAATAAAAACGCATGGAGCAACTGCATATAAGCAGCATGCTATTCTGAGTTAGCATTTTACCACACGAGACCATCATAATACCAAGATATTCTTAAGATATATCCTGAATTTCACAACAATTTACCTATTATTATTTTTGCAGTTTACCTATCTAATAAAATCGCCAACAGATAACAGAGAGAAGAAGAAAAGAAACCTAACTTCCCGTATTCTAGAAGCTATGAAACTTAGTGAAAACATGAAATTAGTCCTTCGTCAAATGAACTCTATTAAAGTATCCCTCGCTTATGTCAGGAAAGTAAAAATATACCTCGCACAAAAAGTTTTGAACAATCTCAATAGATACGTTACGGCTTGAAAGTCAGACTGAGCTCCCTTATGACCGCTGGAACAACATCTTTGAAATTTATATCGTATGGATGAGTAATTAAATGATATTAATTGATCTCATAGTGAAATATCAAAACTAGAAATGTCAAAAGTATGATATACGTGTGTTTCAGCTAAAACTCCTAATATCGTGACAACGGATAGAGATATTAAAATTCTTTAAAAAACTAAATTATATAAATTATCTAAATCTATATATATAAAAATGGATGTTGGTATATATATATATATATATATATATATATATCTGTGATCGATAGACTCCGAAATCGTTTGACCGATCACCATGAAATTTGGCACATGTAAGTGGTTTTTCATGGAGAAGGTTTTTGTGGTATCCGCTTTGCTGTAACTAGCCACTAGATGGTGCTACAGCACATCAACTTCTACACCGTTCAACCGATTCTCATAAAAATTGGTACACGTTAGCATTTGACTATGGAGAATATTTTCGCCCTATCCATTTTGCTGTAACTCGTCACTAGATGGCGCTGCAACACATCAACTTCTGTACCATTCAACCGATCCTCATGAAAATTGATATACGTTGGTATTTGACCATGGAGAATATTTTTGCGCTATCGATTTTGCTGTAACTTGCCACTAGATGGCACTGCAGCACATCAACTTCTGTACCAATCAACCGATCCTCATGAAAATTGATATACGTTGGTATTTGACCATGGAGAATATTTTCGCGCTATCGATTTTGCTGTAACTTGCCACTAGATGGCACTGCAGCACATCAACCTCTCTGTTAAAGTATTATGAACTTAGAGAATCAGCGGCACCCATATATCTAATACTACTATATTGCTATCAGGCCTCAAAAGAGTCTGAAAACACAACGGCAGAGCAATATATCGGACCTCTTTGTCTCTCTATAGTACCAAACAGTACTGCTCATATACTCGTACTTGCTTGATTTTTAGTCGATAACGTGACTAGATGTGTTTTGACATTTCATACGTTCGCTTCTATTTTGTGTACGTGCGCACAGACCCTCGGTGCTTTTCTAGACAGAAAACAATATCTTCCGTCTCCCTTTGTCCGTGAACACCGTTTCTATGTTACTTCTGAAGAGTTAGCAAGTATTAGATATATGGCGGCACCAATTACAACATTGTTTTCGTTGGTATTACAACAAAAATCGTATTGACCGCAAAAGAAAATAATTAGTGATGTTCACTGTCTACAATCCTCAGTAATAACAAAGAATGAATTACTAGAGATTATTGAAAATGCCACCCAAAAAATTAAACATTGGAAGATCAACCAGACATGCGCAGTAAGTGGCAGCCAGTAGAGCTGGTGAAACCTTTAAAATACGAAACGCGCGACTGGAAACTGACCGGATCAGGGCCTCTACTTCAAGAATTGCCGAAACACCCGAAGAGCGAGACTCACGGATTGAAAACCTGCGGGTGCGAGCGTCTACGTCAAGAGCTACCGAAACATCTGAAGAGCGAGATGTACGATTTGAAAACTTGCGAGTGCGAGCTTCTACGTCAAGAGCTGCCGAAATATCACAACAGCATGACGTACGTGTTGAAGATCTTCGAGCAAGAGCGTCTGCGTCAAGAGCTTCTGCAACACCAGAAGAGCGAGACACACGATGTGAAGCAGAACGCTCACGGCAGACTCGATCAAGAACAAGAATCGACCTCAAGAAAGCAGTTCAATTACGATAAAGACTATGACTACAAAATGCATCGCGATGTTGTCATTGGTCCGATGACTAAATTGTGTCTACACTGTCGCGCTTTGAAGTTTCAAAAAGAAGCGCCTGGCATGTGTTGCTCCAATGGCAAAATCAGTTTGCCATCACTGACTGAACCACCAGAACCACTGCTCACTTACGTTGCTGAAGTTACTCGGGAGTCCAAACACTTTCTACAGCATATTCGGAAATACAACTCATGCTTTCAGATGACATCGTTTGGAGCGACGAATATTGTGAGATATAATAATTTTATGCCCACATTTAAAGTGCAAGGACAAGTGTATCATCAGATTGGTTCACTCCTTCCAGTATCCAAAGAAGATCCGCAATTTTTGCAAAGTTATTTCATGGACAATGTGGAGAAAGAGATTAATCGACGATGCGCATTTAGTGTAGCAACAGATCGAAAGATTATTGCTGAATTACGAGCATTATTCCACGAGCACAACTGTTTGGTCCGAGATTTCAAATCCGCATTGGAGAATGTAAGAGCGGATGACTTCAAACTCATGATCAGAGCAGACAAAACCCCATCGAATGAGCATGAAAGACGCTTCAATGCTCCAATAGCCCCTGAAGTAGCAGCTGTGATTGTCGGTACAGAAATTACTCGGCGAGATATTGTTATCAGCAGGCGAAATCAAACCAAGCAACGTATTGCTGAAACACATCGATCGTACGACGCACTTCAATATCCAATTCTATTTCCGCGAGGAGAAGACGATTATCATCTCGAATTGTATCAAACTCATCCCGTCACAGGTGCTGCGACAACGAAAAAAGTCAGTTGTATGGATTTTCATGCATATCGCATCATGATTCGAGTCGAACAATCCAACCATATCTTAAAGTGTCGTCATGTTTTTCAACAATTCATCGTTGATGTGTATGCCAAAGTCGAAAGCGAACGACTCAATTACATTCGTTACAATCAATCGAAGCTTCGAGTCTAATATTATATTCATTTGCGAGATGCAATCGCGAATGATGGAACAATTGGTAACATTGGACAAACGGTTATACTTCCAGCTTCGTATACTGGAAGTCCAAGACATATGCAAGAATATGCTCAGGTTTCTCTGACATATGATCGCAGATATGGACGTCCAGATCTTTTCATCACGTTCACATGCAATCCATCTTGGTGTGAAATCAAAGATTTACTTTTGCCTGACCAACAACCATCTGATCGGCATGACCTCACAGCGAGAGTTTTCAAACAAAAATTGATACGTTTTATGGATCTCATCACTAAGAACCATATATATGGAGAAACTCGCTGTTGGATGTATTCCATCGAATGGCAGAAAAGAGGTCTACCACATGCTCATATCTTAATTTGGTTGGTTGAAAAAATTGTTCCAACTCAAATTGATGATATCATTACTGCTGAGCTGCCCAACGCAGAAGAAGATCCAGAATTATTTGAAATTGTGAAAAAAAATATGATTCACGGACCATGTGGGGGACACAACCCCCACTCGCCATGCATGAAAGACGGAAAATGCACCAAAAAGTATCCACGCCAGCTGCTGCAAGACACAAACTGGTGGCGACGGTTATCCGTTGTATAGACGACGAAAACCAGATGATGGAGGATACACCACAACTATCAAAATCAATAACGTTGATTTCGAAGTTGATAACCGATGGATTGTGCCCTACTCTCCTATCCTTTCGAAATCATTCAATGCACATATCAACGTGGAGTCCTGTAATTCAGTTAAGTCAATAAAATACATATGTAAATACGCGAATAAAGGCAGCGATACAGCAATTTTCGGAATTGCGAATCCCAATGCACCCGTCAATGAAATCGAGCAATTTCAAATGGGACGTTATATTAGCAGTAATGAAGCTGTATGGAGAATTCTTGGTTTCGACATTCATGAACGCTTTCCTGCTGTCATGCATCTCAGTGTTCACTTGGAAAACGGTCAACGAGTCTACTTCACGGAAGACAACGCACCCCAACGAGTTGCAGATCCACCAAATACAACGTTGACCGCTTTTTTCCAATTGTGTGCAACTGACGAATTCGCAAAAACATTAATGTATCACGAAGTCCCGCAGTACTACACTTGGAATCAATCGACGAAGAAATTTTGCAGAAGAAAACGAGGCGCCAGGCATTCTTCTATAGCTGGCATATTTTCTACTGGTGCACTGGGAATGCTGCTTCACGTGGTGAAAGGACCAACATCGTTTCAAGCAATCAAAACAATCGATGGTCAAGAGTGTGAGACATACAGAGAAGCATGTTTTAAACTTGGTTTGCTTGAAAATGATCAACATTGGGACAACACATTAGCAGAAGCATCTGAGACACGTCATGCCCATCAAATACGAACTCTGTTTGCCATAATTTTTACAACCTGCGCACCTTCTGATCCGAAAGGTTTATGGGAAAAACACAAAGAGAGTATGAGCGAAGACATACTTCTCCGAGCACGCAGAAATAATCCCGGCTTGGATGTACAGTATTCGGAAGACATTTTCAATGAAGCACTGATATCACTTGAGGATGTGTGTATGTCGATTAACAACAAAATCCTCGATCATCTTGGGCTGTTTTCACCGGAACGTGACAGAAACAATGTTATCGATAGAGACGTATTGCGAGAAAAACAATACGACGTCGATGCGCTACAAGTTTATGTTGAAACTCAGAAAAGGCTCTTAACAAACGATCAACGACTTGCATACGACACAATTATGCGCTCCAGACCATACATTTATATCCACATATATACAAAGTAAATATATACACAAGCAGGACAACGTCTGCCGGGTTCCGCTAGTAGAGATATAAACAGCGACAAGTTGTGAACTAATTTTGTGTTTAGTGTGAAGCACGACAGTTCGAATATGTGCTTATGACTCAACTTCCATTTTTTTTTCAGCTAAAAATGAAATAAATACCTAATAAGTGCTTTATGTCACTGTAAATATTATAATTTAATGATCTATCAAAATCCTCTAAAACAAAGATACTCTGCAACTTATAAAAATACATATTTAGGCCGCGAAGCCGACACTATACATGCACACGATTTATATTGCTAAATTAAGCTTCCCTCTTGAAGCTAACGGCAATGGCGTTTACAGAATTTCAATATTGCTGTCCATTCTCAGAATATAAGGCCGCGTGCTGTTATCTAGGACAGCCTGCGTACGTATACACACTAACAGCATAAACAAGCAGTGCATTCCTACGTACCTTCTGTTTCCATATCGGCAAACGAAAAAACAAAAGCTTTTATATTATTTAAAATTCCTTTCTCAAACTCCATAAAAAGAAAACTTTTTTATTATCTTAATAAATCAACCGAATTTCTGTATTATTTTAATTGAACTTCGTGTCAAAATGGATTCATTAAAAGTAAAAATGAAACTTCTTTTAGTCATTTAAAACCGATTCATTTGTTTCACTCGAGATACGCCTAATTGTATCGATTGCCTCCATTACGTTAAAAGAACGTTAATGAAAGAATCCACTTTCCACCAAATTGTTTCTACTCTCCCTTGGATGCATTTCTGTATAAATTTCTTCTCTGTTACGACTTATACTCCATCTTTTATCATAATAAACAAATTAAGATGCGGTCTGTGGTTGAGTGTTTGGATTGCCTAGGGTGGCAACAGAAAAGAACTGCTGAGACTAACAAAACTTCTTGTTGCAGGCTGTAAACACGAGGGGAAACATAAACGGCAGACTTACGTAAAGGAACAAGTTAAATTTGTGGTATATTAACTACTTCTTGACTTACTCGATAAAGAAGTTAGCGAGATAAAAGCAAATTTTCGATTTGCACATTGTAACTTTTTAAGCTTTAAAAGGGACACATTGTAAATAAACTTGTTAATGTTACATTACTTTGTTGAACTGAATATGGAAACTAAATGGTTGCTACAAATTTAGGACAAGCCACATGAATAGTGTTGTAGTTAATTCATAATTATGTTTAACATTCACATACACGCTGTGAAAACTTCAGTCCCAATGCAACCGTCTTATACGAAACCTTATTAAAACTGTGAGACACGTATTTGCATTAGATGTAAAGACTCTGACAGAAAACAACCATCAAGCTTTTATTCACGAAGAGATGCATAATGTTTTCCGTTTTCAAATTATTTTCCATATTAGAAAATCTCGTGCTTTTCATCTTGCAGAAATCTCGTTTTATTACATCATGTTTCTTATTTATACATCCCACATACGAAGTCTGAAAGTCCAATAACATTGATATCGAGTTAAAAGAATAATTTTTCCCTTGGCGATTGAATCCGGGAGATTTCCATGAAGGTTTCGCAACAGTCTAAACCACCAATAACGACAGAGGCATCTATAGCGAATAGACTAATAGAGTTTACGTTAGACGGCTGTTACAACATTAATAGTCGCCTCGATATTATGTAACCGAGGATGGAACGTTTTGGAAGGCTAGTTAACGTGTGTTTACCCTTGCCTTAAATGTTAATGAATTTAATATTGTTTCGTATTTACACATATTCTATGGCCGAGTAAACAAGGGAGGATTGAGAAGGTTGTAATGCAGACCGAAAGCAAGATGAGATTTAGCAGGGGAATGATTATGGGTCCCTACAGCTGAAAGGATTAGAAAGTGGAAGCTATTATGGAGGGTTTATAATGAAGAAAGGAGCGAAAAGGAGATTTATGTTATATGGGAAAAAATGAAATATTTAGGCCAACGGAAATGTTTTGCTTTAAGTATGTTACCCTGCTGTCAGTTCTATAATAATTGAAGGAGTGGGTGCAAGCAAAAACAATACAAACCCTAGAGACAAGAACCAGACAAATCCCTTGTAATGATAAAAAAGTATTTAATATAAAGTTAAAAAATGTATAATAAGTTATTTACTCTCAACTCTCTTCTTCTCTGATTAACAACATCTTCTACACACATATTTGTCAGGACAATTTTTTTTATATGGCTATTATTCGATATGACATGAATTATATGTTTCTATAATTTCAAGAGAATTATACAGATGTTTTCTGTAACAATCATCAAAATATTTAAATCCATTCTCAGATTAATTTATTCACGAACAGTGTGTCTAAATAATTTTCACAATAAAAGAGTGTTAACCGAAATTCAAGGTAACATCACACCTAAGAAGAAATTTTTCAACAAATATTTTTTGAAAATTTTGGGACAACTTTATCAGCTGTTGCTGGAAATAAATATATTAGTTTGACAATGTAAACCCTACCCTTGTAGCAAGTAGTCTAAAATGAGGTGAAATATGTCTGAATAAAATACAGGGTTAAAGTAAAGAAAGCACGTACTTTAACAAGTAAAAGTCTCATTTCACACTGTGATAGAACTTATTATGTAAACTGGTCTTATACAAAATTGAATTAACTGTTACGAATACGCAGAATAAATAAAAATCGATATATCTCTTTACCTACAATTTCTACACTAACTATATAATTTTTGTAAAAAAAGAACAAGTATATAATTAGCATTCAAACTGTAGGTTCGTCTACTTCAAATGTTTATATTTTTACATTCCCTGCAATTATACAGTCAACAATTGATTCAACAATTTGTTAGATCAATTTTTTCTTAATTTTATTATTTTGCGGAAACCTATAAGTACTAGTTTTTATTTAGCTCCCTAAAACGTATTACGGGTTTGGTAAATTATACAAAAATTTAATATATTTCAGAATTTGTTTTGAAATGTAAATAACATGTAAAGAAAACTTTTGGAGAGTTACATAATATGAAATATGTATTGAGTAGAAATAGTAATAAAGTTTTAAAAATAGTTTGCTTCTTATTTCAGTTAAGAATGAATCAATTAGTGCGCCCCTCTCGATATTTCATTAATAAATTAGAAGTAGATTAGAAAGATTAAAGTTCCACGACGCTTTAAGTAACATAAACTTAATTTCAACTACACAGAGTGACAAAGTGTTCTGTATTTTGAGGCTCTACGTTACACAAGCGTAAGCGAAGGAAGTATTCTAATCGAGTCCATCGCGCAACTGGTTTCTTTCATATATTCTCATTTGGTCATAACATGACGGCTCGGATAATAGGCAAAATGTACATTTTAGCATATTCTGCATATTGAACTATTCTTTTTTTGCATCTATTGTATATTTTAATGTTAAGTGCATTTTTATGCATATTTTAAACTGTTTGCTGCATTTTTCATCATAATGAAAAATTGGTGAAAATCTTAATTTTAATACAATTGATTATTATTTATTGGCAGTATGCAGGTAAATAAGTACCGACCTCGGAATTCAACTACCCAGATGTTTAGATCGCTTGTGTAGACGCTTATAAATTCTGTTCTGACCATGGTAATAAAAAATTAAAGTGAAAGATGTAAACAGCTAAGAAGAACATTTTAGTGTTGCAAGTACATATGCAAATTACGATGGGCAGTTTAAATTTAGAGAATTTAAACATTAATGACAGACTATCTAAAATTTTGCTTTATTTAGATTATTTACACTTGCACTTAACATTTTCCTTATTACACATTCTATTTTTTGTATTTTTATGTGACATACCATTTATGTATGTTGTACATATGTATAATATGGGTAATAAAACATCGCTACCACTATAAAAGAAGAAAAAAAAAACTGAAATATCAGGTGTAGATCGAATAATTTATAGAAGGAAAATAACAAAACGTCTGTTTTCTCATCTACGGTTTAACAAATTTGCTGAAGATTCTAATAAGGCAATAGTATTGTTAATAATTAACAGTTATAATATGATTCATTTATTTAAATGTAGAAAACATCAACAAAATTGAACATTGAGATACTATTTCCTATCTGTCAACCTTTTTCTTCTCAGGCCACTCTTCTTTTTTAATCAAAACTAAGTTCCGTTACAAACTCCCCCTCTAAACAACACAAACGACCCTCTGGTGTTGTTTAGGATGAAACATTGTTTTTAGGACGACCCCTCCTCCGTTTTTGTATTAAAGGCGTTAATGTATCACTTCTAGTCCCTTCAACAAACGGGCTGAGGTCTGCGGCGTGATAGCGTCCTATTCTTTCTAGAGGATTTGTACAGCTTCCTGACTCGTAGGTTGTAGGAGAAGCAATTCGCAAGATCATATAAGCACCATCCCTTTTTGGGGCAAGCTTTGAAGAGAATCCACTTTTGGAGCTACTAAGAGTATGAGATTTCAGGAGAACTTTGTCACCCTTCTTGAATACAGCTGGTCGTCGTCTGGAATCTAGGCGGGTTTTCTAGACATCTTGTTTCTTGCAACTTCTATCCATTGCCTCAGACAGAGTAGTAGCTAGCTTCTTTAAGTAAGGAGTTATTCTTGGTATGAAATTTTCTACATCAATCACTTTGCGTAGATCATATACAGAATCATAAGAAGCTCGTATCTCCCTACCAAATGTGAGAAACGAAGGACTATATCCCGTAGAGTCACAACATGTAGAATTTATGCCGAATCGAATGCTGCTCAGGTGATGATCCCATTGTGAGTGGTGATCTTGAACCAAAATGGCCAACTGAGTCTTCAATTCGCGGATCTTCCGTTCAACAGGGTTACTCTCTGCATGATACAAAGGAATGATCGAAGTCGTGATACCAAAACAATAAGTAATTTGCTGCATCACATCACTGATAAATTGTACGCCGTTATCAGAAATCATTTTCCTCGGAGTTCCAAACCGCAGGAATATTTCTTCGATGAGAATTTTTGCAAAAGATTCAGAGTCAGCTTTTACTAATGGGAAAAGTTTTACCCATTTTGAAGCAACATCCTCAATTATTAGGATCCATCGATTCCCCCTGGGAGTTGCCGGTAGAGGGCCAAATAGATCTACAGCCACAACTTCGAATTTCTGGGAAGGGGCTGGGGTTTGAAGTAGGCCCGCAGGTTGACGATTCACTGGTTTATATCTCTGGCATTCCATACAACCTTTTACATGGCGAACAATATATTTTCTCATATCTGTGAAGTAAAATTTTGGATAGATCTTTTGAAGGGTTCTTTCGATGCCGTAGTGCCCCCCTGTAGGCGAATTATGGTATTGGGCCAAAACATCTTCACGAAATTCTTTGGGAATCACTAACTGGGGATCTTCAGAGTCCACATATGGGTTGAAACGGAAGAGAACACCATTGTTCATCACGTATCCCCTCCCAGACCACCTAGACATCTCTAACGGATCTTCTCCTACGATAGATAATATAATAATCTTGATCTCATCATCTTCCATTTGTTTCTGTCGCATAGATTTAGCATCGTATGACGGTAGGTCAACACTAACGAAGTAGCTCTGTACCTTTTCTTCTTCATCCGAGCAAAAAGGTCGAGACAACAGATCAGCTACTACATTGACTTTACCGGGAGTATATACAACGTCCATATTCATGCCTTGAAGGCGGAGCGCCCAACGAGCCAAACGACCCGAAGGCGATTTTAAAGTCAGCAACCACCGTAATGGTTGATGATCCGACGCTATAACCACTTTCGCACCTTCAAGATAGAGTCGAAATTTTTCTACAGCCCATACTACGGCGAGCGCCTCTCTTTCGGTAGTTGAATAATTTTTCTCGCTGTCCTTTAACAAGCGACTGGCGTATTCTATTGGATGTTCGTCGTATTTCTCCCCCTGGAGTAGAACAGCATCCAAGGCGTAACAACTTGCATCTGTTCTAAGGATATACGGCTTGGTCTGCTCGGCTTAAGCAAGGACTGGAGCGGTAGTCAATCTATCTTTTAACGTCTCGAAGGCTCTTAATTCGGCTTCACCAAATTGGAAAGACGCATTTTTCTTAAGAAGATTAATTAAGGGACGTGCAATTTCGGAAAACTCTGAAACAAACTTGCGATAGCAACTACATATCTGAATGAAAGTTTGCAGCTGTTTGCGATTGCTTGGAGGTCTCAACAGTTTGATAGCAGCTATTTTGTCAGAGTTAGTTTTAATTCCATCACTGGTCAGTATATGTCCGAGAAATTTGACCGAGTCACAGAAGAACGAGCACTTCTCACGTGTAGCACGAAGACCAAAAAGTTTTAAACGCGAAAACACTGTTTGTAATGTATTATGTGCTTCTCGAAGGTTTCTGAAAGTACCAAGATGTCGTCTATATATACGAACACTGCAGTGTCATTCAAACCGGATCTAAATCTGTCCATCAATCGAACGAACGTCGCGGGCGCGTTTTTCAACCCGAAAGGCATTAGATTGAATTTAAACGTCCCAAATGGAGCCACAAAGCAAGTTTTATCACGATCTTCTTCAGCAACAGGAACTTGCCAGTAACCTGCTTGTAAATCAATTGTAGACATGAATGGTGTATGTTTAGCGGTGTGAAGAATATCGTCTATTCGCGGCATTGGATAACTATCGCTTACCGTTACTGAGTTTAGCTTACGATAATCTATGCAAAGACGATAGCTGTCTCCTTTTGGAATTAAAACCACAGGACTGGACCATGGTGACTCGCACTCTTCTATAATTCCTTGTGTTACTAATCGATTCAATTCTTCACGCAGGAATTGCTTCTTTGGTGCGTTCAGCGCGTACGGTGGTACGGAGATTGGTACAGCATTTTGTGTGTTAATTCGATGCGTAGCAAACGTAGTTTGTTGGTACCACTGGTACCAACCCCATGTTTCTACCCCCACCCGTTCCACTGTTCAATTCAATGTATATTTCGAACGGACTACGAGTCTGTCCGCAACCACCATCTAATAAACAACGCTACATAATTCAACGAATAGTATTTTTTGGGATGTACCTTCGTACATTTTATGGTCCTTCGAGCCGGATACGATAACCAGTGCAGTTATTTGTAAAACTCGCGGCTAGTGTAGTAATTCGCAAAACTCGCGTTTAGTGCAGATAGTCGTAAAACTCGCGTTAGTTCAGTACACGCATCTTCAACGTTATACGATCACCATTGCAGTGGTCAAAACAAGAAATCAATCAACAATATACGATCACCATTGCAGTGGTCAAAACAAGAAATCAATCAACAATATACGATCACCGTTGCAGTGATTGCTTCAAGGCGAAAATTCATTCGAGGGAAGACCGAACCATCGAAATTCAGAGGACAGACGAAGCATCCACTTGGTTGTAAGGTCAGATCAATTCCTTTTTTCCTTTGTATGCCCCTCACATTATTCGTGTTCAAACAAGTTTCGCCGTTGTATTCGGTACGGTATTTTGGATACGTTTGCCTGCTACTCATTGCAAATCGTCGGCATTTTTGGCAGTTTTTATCCCACTATTAGCATGGCAAACAATTTAAAAGAGCTGAAAAATCAACGTAAAATCTTAAAAGGGATGATCACGCGAATTCAGAACAATATCAGCGAACAAGACGGTATTCAGGAACTGGAAATGCGGTTAAATAATCTTACGGACAGTTTACAGAAATATAATGATGTTCAAGCGCAAATTGAGGTATTGCAACTCGAAGATATTAGTAAAGATGAAGAAACTTGGGACGTAGAAAATGATAGGGAACGTGCCCAGGTTGAGAATCAGTTTTATAAAACCGCAGGTCAAATTAAATCGTTAATAATGAAAAATAAACCTAGTTCATCAAACCCGTCGCATAAAACAAACGCGACCGTTATTAATTTCAATAGTTCTAATTCCATGGATAGGCCAGCTCAAAATTTATTTTCAACAAATGTCGTGACAAAAATTATGTGCTTAATTTGCAAGAGTCCGCATGGCATTTTCCAATGTACTGAATTTTTGGGTAAATCGGTCACAGATCGAATGAAACAAGTAGATGAATTAAAACTTTGTCATAATTGTTTTAGAACCAATCATAATGTAACACAATGCAATTCGCCAAAACTCTGTAAAACTTGCGGTCAAAAACACCATACTTTACTGCACATTAATAATTTCGAGCCATCTACTTCCGCATTGCATGTATCGACACCTAGTCAAGTCCTTTTATCAACAGTACTTTTATTAATTAAAGATAATAACGGCAAACTGCATCCATGTCGTGCCTTACTAGATCAAGGTTCAGAAGCTAATGTGATAACTAATAACTTGTGCAAAAAATTGAATCTAAATCCAAGGGGTATAAATACCTTCGTATCGGGAATCAATGGTTCAATAAATTCTGTTACTAAGCGTGTTAATATAACTGTTAAGTCTCGAATTAATGAATTTGAAATCTCCTTTAATTGTTTAGTTATGCCTAAAATTACGGAACGCACACCAGCACTGTCAATTGATAAAGGTAAAATACGTATACCCCCAAATATCATTTTAGCGGATCCCGATTTCGAACAATCACGCGAAGTAGACTTACTTATCCGTGCTGAAATATTTTGGAGCCTTTTGATTGGTAGTCCAACTCGGTTCAAACCGAATCAACCATTTTTACAAGAAACTATTTTTGGGCATATAGTCAGCGGGAAGGTTTCTACAGCTGAAAATCGCAACCAAAATTTATCCTGTAATATTTTATCATTATCTGCCGATTTACAACTAAATGAACAGGTAGCAAATTTTTGGCAACAAGAAAGTGTCGATGAACCCAACTTCGGCGAATCGCGTACAATAGAATCTCATTTCCTTGAAAATACCCATCGGGATGTACAGGGCAAATTTATGGTAAGGCTGCCATTCAAAGACCAGGCTACTTTGGGTCATTCGCGCGGATTAGCACTCAAACAATTTTACAGTCTTGAAAGACGCCTGGCAAGGAATCCTTTACTCAAATTAAATTACCAAAATTTTATGAGGGAGTATTTAGCGTTAAACCACATGGAACTTGTCCCAACGAAAGAATTAGGAATTCCCAAAACCTTCTACCTGCCCCATCATCCGGTCTTTAAACAAACACCGGATGGTCCTCAAATAAGAGTGGTATTCAATGCGTCCATAAAATCCTCCAATAACTTAAGCTTAAATGATGTTTTAATGACGGGCCCTACAATACAAGGGGACTTGTTTTCACTCCTTTGTCGGTTTCGAACTTACCAGTACGTCCTTTCCGGGGACATAACAAAAATGTATAGAATGATACTTGTTGACGAACAGGACACAAATTATCAAAGGATATTTTGGAGAATTAGTAACGATGAACCAGTTCAAACATTTAGATTGAAAACGTTAACATACGGTACAACCTGTGCACCATATTTAGCAGTACGTTGTCTGCAACAGCTAGCGGCGGAAGCCCAAAATACTTATCCTTTAGCCAGCGAAATAATAAATCGGGATTTTTATATGGACGACCTTCTAACAGGCAGTAATTCAGTAGGGCAAATCGTTCTAATCAGGGATCAACTTTCACAGATTTTAATAAAGGGGGGATTTAAGCTTTGTAAATGGGCGTCAAATATACCGGCAGAATCAGTTGTGGCTGAATCGGAACCCTTAACATCAGTTAGTTGGAATAAAGAAAGCGAAGTTAAGGTTTTAGGATTTTTCTGGCATTGTCAGAATGACGAATTAAGATATCAAGTCAACATTCCACTAATTGAATCTGAACAAATTTCAAAACGGCACATATTGTCAAGCGTGGCTAAAATATTTGATCCTTTAGGGCTAGTTAATCCAGTAATTGTAAAGGCCAAAATTCTGCTACAGGGTTTATGGAAATTAAAATTGAATTGGGACGAACCGGTACCGCCCACATTTCAAAATGCTTGGACAAAATTCGTTAACGAGCTGAAGGATCTAAGGAATTATAACATAGCACGCAAATTAATAATCTCCTATCCCTATATGGCTGTTGAAATCCACGGTTTTTCGGATGCTTCAACAAAGGCATATGGCGCAGCCATTTATATAAGGGTTATATATCAATCAGGTGACGTTTCAGTTAGGTTGGCATGTGCAAAATCTCGCGTCGCACCATTACACACAGTGACTTTACCTCGTTTAGAACTAAACGCCGCGGTATTATTAATTAAATTATTTATCAAGGTAAATAGCATTTTAAATCTAAACATAGATCGTAGATATTTCTGGACTGACTCTACCATTGTCCTCGCATGGCTAGCAGAATCTCCAAATAATTGGAAACCATATGTTGCCAACAGAGTAGCGTACGTGAAAAAACATAGTTTAATCGCAGAATGGCATCATGTTTGTTCTAAGGATAACCCCGCCGATATGGTTTCTAGGGGTCTATTTCCACGGCAATTAAATCAATCTACTTTGTGGTGGCACGGGCCGACTTGGCTACGCCAAACATCAAATAATTGGCCTAGTCTTTCAGATAACGAATACGAAGAAGTTGCGCTTAACACAGAAAGGAAGTCGTTAGTTACTATTAATGTCGTTAATATAGATCCAGAGTTACCAGTTATATCCAAATATTCATCATTTGAAAAATTGCAACGGGTCATATCATACTGCTTACGATTTATTAAAAATTGTAGGCAGCAAACTAAAATCAAAGGCGCATTGTCGGTAGAAGAATTAAACGAGGCTCAAACAATAATATTTAAACATATTCAGGTACGAGCTTTTCCTGAATATTTCACCGGTAATCCCATTAAGGCTAAACAGCATAAGCTGTCAAAACTTGATCCTTTTGTGGACAGCAACGGGCTTTTAAGAGTAGGGGGACGTTTAAAAAATGCCCCAATTTCATTTGATAAAAGGTTCCCAATACTTCTGCCGCGTAATCATCACGTATCAAAAACAATAATAAGACATATGCATGAGCGGGAATTGCACGCAGGTACCAGCGGGACGGTGACAGCGGTACGACAAAAATTTTGGCCATTGGGGGCTAGGGATACCACTAAGAAAATAATTCACCATTGTACGAAATGCAGTCGCGTCAACCCCAAGCCATTTACTCAGAAAATGGGCAATCTGCCGAGACAAAGAGTACAATTAACGCGCCCATTTCATGTGTCGGGCGTTGATTACGCCGGACCCTTTTTGATAAAGGAAGGTCGAACTCGCAACGCCAAAAAGGTCAAGGCATACATCGCTCTATTTATATGCTTCAGTACCAAGGCAGTACATTTGGAGCTGGTAGGAGATCTAACTAGCGAGGGTTTTTTAGCGGCCTTAAAACGGTTTACTTCGCGGCGAGGTAAGGTAGCGGAAATATTTTCCGATAACGGCACGAATTTTGTAGGAGCCGAGCGGCAGCTCTTTCGTGCCCAAGCCTTCCAAAACAAAATAACCGAGCGATTGACCTGCCAAAACATAAAATTTCATTTTATTCCTCCGCGGTCCCCACATTTCGAAGGTTTGTGGGAGAGAGCGGTCAGAAGTGTTAAACAGCATTTGCAAAGGGTAGTAGGTGACGCTAATTTAAATTACGAGGAATTTTACACGGTTTTAACAGCGATCGAAGCTTGTTTGAATTCACGACCTATCACACCCATATCCTGTGACCCTAACGATCTCGACGCCTTAACGCCGGGCCATTTTTTAATTGGGGCACCCATTACGGCCCATGCTGAGGAAGACCTCACAACGATCCCAAGCAACCGATTATCTCGATGGAGAAGAGTTCAACAGCTACAGCAACATTTTTGGAAGCGTTGGCATAAGGGATATCTATCGCAGCTACAATGCCGACCAAAGGGTCAGCGGGGTCCAGCAACAGCCATCGAAGTCGGCACATTGGTGGTGCTAATGGAGGAAAATCTACCGCCCATGCAATGGAAACTGGGACGAATTGCAGAGCTTCATCCTGGTGAAGATAATGTGGTGCGCGTAGTGACCGTAAAAACCGCGAATGGCCTGTTTAAGCGATCTGTGAAAAAGGTGTGTGCGATACCGCTGGAAACATAAGCGCGTCAGCACTATTATTTTCAAGGACTTTAATCTGATAATTTTGTTATGATTATTTTATTGTATTGTTTATATATTTTTTATTGAAGAATTGGCTTCAACGTGGGGGAGCATGTTGGTACCACTGGTACCAACCCCATGTTTCTACCCCCACCCGTTCCACTGTTCAATTCAATGTATATTTCGAACGGACTACGAGTCTGTCCGCAACCACCATCTAATAAACAACGCTACATAATTCAACGAATAGTATTTTTTGGGATGTACCTTCGTACATAGTTTCTCCCCCTTGTTCGAAGATGGTGCTGTTCTTCTGAAGTAGGGTGTTTATTTCATCTTTTGCCGTGTCTTTAATCTTCTGAGCTTCATTTTGGCGGAGTTTGTTTTAATTCCATATTTGAAAGTATGTTCTGGTTTATTTCTAAAAAACCAACACTCGTTTTGGAAATCTATACCAATGTTAGCCTTCTTCAAGAATTCCCGCCCTAAGAGCGTATGGTTCTGGGTTAAATACGGCATTATAACAAAACTAGTTGGAGTTATTTTGTCTTTTATCTTAACGTCTATATTTGTTACCAGTAGTTTCTTATCTCTAGGAATTCCGTCAGCTAATGTTACCACTGCATCCATTGTTTCAAACTTAACTCCCTTATCTTGTAACACCTTATAGAGGGTGTGACCAGCTATGTTCCATTTTGATCCTGAATCGGCGAGTCCAATTCCTTTTGCACCTTTCACTTCTAAGGGTAGGATTAGAGCCTCGCAGCTTGATTCATTTTCTAAAGATAGCCGTGAAAATTCAAAGGAGTTAGTTTTGACGTCTGCTTTTTCTTTGCATTTCTGGCAGTTCCATCTGTAGTATTCAGGAGTACCACAGACATAACACTCAGGTTTTGATCTTGCTGATGTTGACTATGACGGTTCTTTATCATCGTTTTCGTTTTCCAGTTGACGACACTCATTCTTTAAGTGACCAAATTTTTTCAACGGTTTGATTCCTTGCCACCAAGTAGCAGCGCTAGACTCGAACAACATTGAAAGACCACGCAGTGCATTTTCGTCACTGATATTGGTGCAGTCTTTATATGTTATGATGTTGTCTAGAAAGGCTTCTACATCGGCGTCATCTGACCCATTAAATCGGGCACTACATTTAGCAAAACTACCTGCAGATCGAGTGTAAGAAGTTGGTGATACGCTTCGTCGTGCCTCGGACTGTTGTGTAGTTGCAGCTTGCCCCTTAATTGTCGATAGTAGTTGCTTAAATTGGTCAGCCGATAGAGTAACTGAAGCTGGAATATTAAGTTTCGGCGGCATCATGGAATTTTGCACACAATTAACCGCGAATGTACAATGGGGTGCTTCGAGCCCCACGTTGGGCGCCAAAAATAATACGATTCATTTATTTAAATGTATAAAACACCAACAAAATTAAACATTGAGGTACTATTTTCTATCTGTCAACCCTTTTTCTTCTCAGCCCACTCTTCTTTTTTAATCAAAACTAAGTTCCGTTACACAGTATATAAAGTGGTCACCAGAAGGAAGAAGGGGTGGGTAGGCGGGCCTATTGCTTGCTTGTAAAAGACTCTACGAAAAAATTATACTTACCCCCGCCCACCCACCCGTCCTCTCATTTTTTTCTTATGAAAGAACATATTATAAACCCCGCCGACCCACCCTCCTCAATTTCGGTGATTGATTTTATAAAAAAAGTACTACAAAAATTTATTGCAGCAAAAAAAGACGAAAATTATTGTTTAAAAGAAAAAGTTTACTGTTGAAATTTAGAGAACTGAAAAATTAATAAAAAAATGTCCAAAATTTTGGTCGGTTTAGACTATTTACATTTGTGTTTGATATTTTCCTTATTACCAACGGGCGGAATTGTGTTTCACACGCTAGATCCAGTGCTGTCGCGGCGATAGTTTGATTACAAATATATTTTTCTTTTGGACTATATCACCATAATATAACATTTCAAGATCACAAATCTGTGGTCCTGTGTTTGAAAAATTAAAAAGGGCATCAAGTATTATTTTTTGAAGTAATATAGTAATATAGAAGTAGTTTTTTAACAAGCTGTAAACACTCCTAGGGACGCACTGGCTACGACCTTGTGGACCAGATCAAAGCGTCCCCGCTACTCGCCGTAAAACACACCTTGCTTCAACTGGGGAATTGCACCCGAAAAGATAAATTTCCGCCTACTGCTTATTACACATTCCTGATCTAACGAATATGAACTAAATTGTCCCTAACTGTATTTTTTATCTAGCAATCAAAAAAGACAAACTTTTGTATTAAGGAAATTCGGTAATGAAAATCAAAATACTAATTTATAGTTCATCCAAAATTTATACACTCACCGGCATGAAAAAGGGCCAGCTAATATTTTTCTGAGTACAGTGCTTCGACGTTTTTACTATGCTTATTTTTGATGTTATTTCTTGACCAGCATATTAATTCAGTGTACCTGCACCCCACACTTTAGATGACCTTCAGAATATGCTTTTAAAGGAATGAGAGAATATCCAAGAAGAATAAATAAACAGTTTATTTCATGGGACGCCCTGGAGAATGGCAACAGTCTTACAGGTTCGTTAGGGAAATACTCGTTATTGATATCTTTACACAGTGTGTCAATGATCATTGGTTTTGGTTTTTTGGAAACTTTAATTTTTTTTCAGCTTTGTTTGATTATTGAATTTTTATAATTTTCTATTAAAATAACATATTTTTTAGTTCTTTTTGGATAAAAATATTACAAAATACTTTGTATAACAACATCAAAGTATTGCAATCAAAATCGTAATTTATTTTGCACATTTTCGGATCTTTAAAAAATATATGACTGGCCCGATTTTCGTGCCGATGAGTGTAGTTCAAACATAATTTACAAAAATACAAGTCTCGGTGTATTCACATATTTAGTATTCAATTTATTAAAAAAGAAATCTGTTTTTTTTTAGACAATAAGTCTAAATTTGTTTTATGCTTGGAAACGATGCAGTATGTACTCCAGAATACATATTATTTTACATATATTTAAAAATTATCTATTCGTAAAATATACAAACATAAATATTAGAAACAACTGTATTGTAATTTTTTTGTGAATCTTTATACTATCAAAACATCTCAAGAAAATTTGAATAACTTGACAGGGTACATAAAATATATAGGTACTTTATTAATAAAAGCCATCCTGTATGTTCGCCTCAAAAACAGAACCTCTTACTTATTAATAACGTCAATTCGTTGAACGAATAAGAATCAGTCGACATAAAAACTTAAGTACACATAATGTACAATAGGCAGATATTTTATTTCTTTACGTTAAATACTTAAAACTGCATTACTATTACAAATTGTGTCACCATCAATGCAATGAATGAACAACAATACGATTGTGGCCTTTGCAATAGAGCGAAATTGATAACGTTCTAGTTATATACCTTTGTTATAACTTTACATAATTTAGTATTACCAGTATGCTATCGATTGCAGTGAAACAAAGAAGCTCCTGTTTCTAAATCAGTTGCAAAAGCAGCTTCTATTTTATTTAATCTGTTAGAAAGAAATCACTTAAAGGATTAGGCTGCAGCATACCAAATCGGACCCTTTGTTTTTGGGGGATGTCTGTGATGTCAAAGGTGCCACATAAAACAACCCATCACACGACATATCATCCATATACATTTCCGGAGATTTTTGGGCCCACTTCCTCCACATTCACCAATTACTTGTTATAGACATTGACCAATGGATCGAAAATAATTAACTCAATTGAGTGAAAACAGATGTATTATAAATAAATCTGAGTGAGCATGCACAATTCCAAATCACTTTATTATGTATTATTCAGCTCATTATGTCCGGGTGATTAATTTGTTTGTGGATTAGTTGAGTTCGATTTATGATATGGTAACAAAATTTAACGGACTTCGGAAACAAAACTAATAAAACAAGAAAAATAAAGTGGCCGGGCTTTTTGCCAATTTTAGTAGTTGAACAACAAATCAAAGATTTACTGCTTTTGTATCTATCAATCAATCACGGCGAATGGCCCCGAGGTTAGGCCTTGCTGATATTCTAGGGTTTGGAAAGTTTGCTTCTTCGAGTGTTGCGTTATTTCTTATTCTTATCGAACGTTTTAATATTTTTAAGGTGATTCAACCGACAGATATTTAATAAATGGCTACGTGATTGAAACTGACTCTTCTTCATAAGCAAACGTTTAAATCTAGTTTGATGTTAAAAAAACAATAAATTTTAATATCTTTAAAAATTGGTGCAGTTCGCGTAATATAACACGAAGACTAAAGATATTCCTCATTAAAATTAATATCGTTTGGAATAAAAGCGCGGAACGAATTGATTCTAAACCACAGTTTTTAGAGCAAAAAAAAGGGTACACACGAAATAAAAAGTTTATTCTTATAAGCAAAAATCTCTATAGTTGTTTATACAGAACTTCCCTCACTTCTTACATTTCAGAAATAGTAAAAAAATAAATAGCTTCACAATATAATATATTTGTGAGACATCGCTGCTAAACAACTTAACAAAAAATAATGAATAATCATCATCATCATCAAATTTTATAATGATGCGTTCTGTTGGTTACGATTTAAGAAGCTCTTATGGGTTTTCAGTACGTTTTCAAAATATAATATCTCCACTATTAACAAACTCATTTTTATGAAATTTTAAATGATTATAACCTGTCCATAATTTTCTCTGTTCAACACAAAGACAGTTTTTTTAACAGTTTGTCGTAATTTTTTTATTTTGGTGAAATTTTTTATAACGTATATTTAAAGATTTTGGAACGGCTTGCATCTCTGTTTGCGGCTTACAAAACTTCAGAAACCACAGAAGAAACATTGTCAACTTCTTTTGTCGGAAATGAGATACAGCAAAGGCAACTTGTGTCAAAGAAACTGCTTTTACAGTATCTCATTTTAGACAAAAAGTTAATGTTTCTAATGTAATTT